AGAAGTGAATGTTTTCAGATACTTGGGAGTTGATGTGTCAGCGGATGGATTTATGAAGGATGAGGTTAATCATAGAATTGATGAAGGAAAAAAGGTGAGTGGTGCATTGAGGTATATGTGGAGTCAAAAAACGTTATCTATGGAGGCAAAGAAGGGAATGTATGAAAGTATAGTAGTACCAACACTCTTATATGGGTGTGAAGCTTGGATGGTAAATGCAGCAGCGAGGAGACGGTTGGAGGCAGTGGAGATGTCCTGTCTAAGGGCAATGTGTGGTGTAAATATTATGCAGAAAATTTGGAGTGTGGAAATTAGGAAAAGGTGTGGAGTTAATAAAAGTATTAGTCAGAGGGCAGAAGAGGGCTTGTTGAGGTGGTTTGGTCATTTAGAGAGAATGGATCAAAGTAGAATGACATGGAAAGCATATAAATCTATAGGGGAAGGAAGGCGAGGTAGGGGTCATCCTCGAAAGGGTTGGAGAGGTTTTGTGGGCGAGGGGCTTGGACTTCCAGCAAGCGTGCGTGAGCGTGTTAGATAGGAGTGAATGGAGACGAATGGTACTTGGGACCTGACGATCTGTTGGAGTGTGAGCAGGGTAATATTTAGTGAAGGGATTCAGGGAAACCGGTTATTTTCATATAGTCGGACTTGAGTCCTGGAAATGGGAAGTACAATGCCTGCACTTTAAAGGAGGGGTTTGGGATATTGGCAGTTTGGAGGGATATGTTGTGTATCTTTATATGTATACGCTTCTAAACTGTTGTATTCTGAGCACCTCTGCAAAAATAGTGATAATGTGTGAGTGTGGTGAAAGTGTTGAATGATGATGAAAGCATTTTCTTTTTGGGGATTTTCTTTCTTTTTTGGGTCACCCTGCCTCGGTGGGAGACGGCCGACTTGTTGGAAAAAAAAAAAATCTATAGTTCACTTATCTGTTATAAGCAAATTTAGGAAATTTGCTTAGTATATCTGGTATCTTATTTTCATTAATAAGATATCTTGACATGTCACATAGGTTATTATACTGTCTCTCTATTCTTCAATAAGTGGACAATTAAGCACATAATGTTCAAGAGAGTGACCATATGCCTGATCACATAATTTACATTTAGTTTGATCATCATCTGTGTGTCTCCCAAACTGCCAGAAGTACTTGTAACCAAGCCTAAGCCTGGCCACTACAACATCAGTCAGTCTGTTCACATTGCACGTTGCTCCATAAACATACTTATCTACGTTCATGGTTGGAGAAGTGGCAGATGCAGTTTAATATTGACAAATGCAAAGTTCTAAATGTTGGACAGTTAAATAACCATGTCACATATAAACTAAATAATGTAGATCTTAATACTACTGATTGCAAAAAGGATTTAGGAGTTCTGGTTAGCAGTAATCTAAAATCAAGACAACAGTGCATTAGTATTTTTTTTTTTTATTATCACACCGGCCGATTCCCACCAAGGCAGGGTGGCCCGAAAAAGAAAAACTTTCACCATCATTCACTCCATCACTGTCTTGCCAGAAGGGTGCTTTACACTACAGTTTTTAAACTGCAACATTAACACCCCTCCTTCAGAGTGCAGGCACTGTACTTCCCATCTCCAGGACTCAAGTCCGGCCTGCCGGTTTCCCTGAATCCCTTCATAAATGTTACTTTGCTCACACTCCAACAGCACGTCAAGTATTAAAAACCATTTGTCTCCATTCACTCCTATCAAACACGCTCACGCATGCCTGCTGGAAGTCCAAGCCCCTCGCACAACAAAACCTCCTTTACCCCCTCCCTCCAACCCTTCCTAGGCCGACCCCTACCCCGCCTTCCTTCCACTACAGACTGATACACTCTTGAAGTCATTCTGTTTCGCTCCATTCTCTCTACATGTCCGAACCACCTCAACAACCCTTCCTCAGCCCTCTGGACAACAGTTTTGGTAATCCCGCACCTCCTCCTAACTTCCAAACTACGAATTCTCTGCATTATATTCACACCACACATTGCCCTCAGACATGACATCTCCACTGCCTCCAGCCTTCTCCTCGCTGCAACATTCATCACCCACGCTTCACACCCATATAAGAGCGTTGGTAAAACTATACTCTCATACATTCCCCTCTTTGCCTCCAAGGACAAAGTTCTTTGTCTCCACAGACTCCTAAGTGCACCACTCACTCTTTTTCCATCATCAATTCTATGATTCACCTCATCTTTCATAGACCCATCCGCTGACACGTCCACTCCCAAATATCTGAATACGTTCACCTCCTCCATACTCTCTCCCTCCAATCTGATATTCAATCTTTCATCACCTAATCTTTTTGTTATCCTCATAACCTTACTCTTTCCTGTATTCACCTTTAATTTTCTTCTTTTGCACACCCTACCAAATTCATCCACCAATCTCTGCATTAGTGTTCGCACTAAAGCTAACAGAATTCTTGGCTTCATATCTAGAAGTATAAATAATAGAAATCCTCAGGTTGTTCTTCAACTTTATATATCCTTGGTTAGGCCTCATTTAGACTATGCTGCTCAGTTCTGGTCACCGTATTACAGAATGGATATAAATGCTCTGGAAAACGTACAGAGGAGGATGACAAAGATGATCCCATGTATCAGAAATCTTCCATATGAGGATAGACTGAGGGCCCTGAATCTGCACTCTCTTGAAACCCGTAGAATTGGGGGGATATGATCGAGGTGTATAAATGGAAAACAGGAATAAATAAAGGGGATGTAAATAGCGTGCTGAAAATTTCCAGCCAAGACAGGACTCGCAGCAATGGTTTCAAGTTGGAAAAATTCAGATTCAGGAAAGATATGGGAAAGCACAGGTTTGGTAACAGAGTCGTGGATGAGTGGAACAAACTCCTGAGTACAGTTATTCAGACTAAAACATTATGTAGTTTTAAAAATGGGTTAGATAAATACATGAGTGGGTGTGGGTGGGTGTGAGTTGGACCTGACTAGCTTATGCTGCTGGGTCTGGTGCTGTGCTCCATCATTGAGTGGGGGTGACAAGATTGGGTGGGTCATTGGGCTAATCCGAAGGGTTGGGGGGGGGGAGTCATTGGGCTAATCCGAGGGGCTGGGGGGGGAGTCATTGGGCTAATCCGAAGGGTTGGGGGGGAGTCATTGGGCTAATCCGGGGGGACACATGGACCTGCTCTGCATGGGTCAGTAGGCCTGTCGCAGTGTTCCTTCTTTCTTATGTTTGTTCTTAATACAGTGATACCTCAAGATACGAAATTAATTCGTTCCAGAAGGCTGTTTGAGTGCCGATACTGAACGAATTTGTTCCCATGAGGAATAATGTAAATTAGATTAATCCATTTCAGACCCCAAAAAATACGCTTACAAAAGCACTTACATAAATGCACTTACATAACTGTTCGAGTTTTGAGCTGTTCGTATCCCGAGGCACCACTGTATATGAAAGTGTTAAATATAGTAGTGATAAGTTTGAGAGATATTCAAATTTAGGGAGAGTACTGTACTTGCTGTATCTAAATATGATTATTTCATAATCCCAGCACTACTATGTAAGCCACAGATCAAGGAAATATACATACAGTTCTTCAAATATACTGCTTGCATGAATATTGAGATAAAGACATTAACATTTTTGTGCTTAAATGTGGCCTGGTGGCTAAAGCTCCCGCTTCACACACGGAGGGCCCGGGTTCGATTCCCGGCGGGTGGAAACATTTCGACACGTTTCCTTACATCTGTTGTCCTGTTCACCTAGCAGCAAATAGGTACCTGGGTGTTAGTCGACTGGTGTGGGTCGCATCCTGGGGGACAAGATTAAGGACCCCAATGGAAATAAGTTAGACAGTCCTCGATGACGCACTGACTTTCTTGGGTTATCCTGGGTGGCTAACCCCCTGGGGTTAAAAATCTGAACGAAATCTTATCTTATCTTATAGACGATACACATGTTACATTTTATGTGCTCACCATGTTCTTACATCTAAATTAGGGAGCCTTCTGTTTAGCAAATTTACCTATATATTGTCAAATTACTAAAGTTAATGGTTGCTTGAGTATAAGGACATAATATATGTATATCAGGAACACTCAGCAGAATTAAAAAACAGTCCTATTGGTTACTGAGATAATATTAATTAAAGCTGACCATGTAAAACCTAACAAATCTTGATGGGGCCAAACAAATCTTAGTTTGTGTAAATTTGCACACTAAAAAGTTGCTAATGCACAAGTAACAAATTTCACATCTGTCAAATAAATGTTTTGTAATAGTATACAGTACTATAGTAAGGGTTTTACAAACTGCCAAAAATTTTTATAGTGTGCATCTTATGAACACAGTAACAAAAATTTATTCATTACCTTGGTGACTATGGTTCATATCCTCTAAACTGAAAACCAAGAGCAGGATTTTGTGTAAAATGTGCTAAACAGTTTTTCCATGCCCAAATGTCTCTTTATTCTGGACAGTCAAACTTATCAATGTCAATGTTAATCACAGTAGAGTAATTTAAAGAGATGGTTTCTGTCATTCTCTGAAATAAAAATGAACCCAAGTCTGAAACAAATTTTATTATACCATCATAATATTGTATTATAATGCCAAGAGCAAGGGGTCAGTAACCCCTTCTCCTGCATACCATACTAAATTTAAAGAGAAACTTTCATTTTTCTTGTTAGGTCACCTTGCTTCCGTGGGATGTGGCCAGTTTGTTGAAAAAAAAAAATAGTATTATTTTGCAAATCTAGGTTCAAGGGACCAGGGAAAACAACCCACACCCCTCCTTTCTGGGAATTTGGGGGTGGGGGGGACTGTACTTTTAATGTGCAAATATCAAATTCAATATACGAAAAGTACTAACTGCTGTGAATGTAGTCTAGGTATAATTTACTTATTTGGAGTTTCACATTTACTCAGAAGAAATAATGCATGCTGAAAGTGATTGATAAATTTATGTGCTAACACTTAAATAATCAAATTACAGTATGTATAAGTAACATAAAAGGATACATCCAGAGCAAGTATTACTTGCCGACAGATGTCTAAACTGGCACAGCTTTTTATATAGTCTGTAAGCAAGAAAATTAATTCTTTAGGGAATAAACAGAAATATTAAATTATTCTTATGTTTAAATTAAAATATGAAGTACAGGATTCACTTTTTCTTTAGTAATTACAGTATTTCTGTAATGGGTTATATTTACACGTAATATGTATAGAAGCTTTGTTTTTCAATTCCTGGAATTCCAAAGAAAACTTTAAATCAGTGATTCATAAGCAATGATATGTATTTAATTTGATTTAGTGATAATATACAGACTGAAACAATCAGTCTCAAAATACCTTGCTCAGCCTAAATTTTTTTTTTTTTAACTAGGTTTCTTTGTATCAAGACCATCAAATGTGAAATTTGAGAGAATGACTTCCCTGATCAAGGACTATATTTGGAAGCAAGGTAACTAACTTACCATTTGGTAAACAGGCTTCAAGAAGTTCATGCAGTTCAAATGCATTGACAGTGCGATGTTCATCAGCAACCTGAAGGAAGACAGCTTCATACTGCTGCAAGCTCTTGCCATCCACTGATCCTCGAGCCTTGAGAAGAGCTGGCTTCACCAATGATGGTGATGTGTCTACCAGTCTAATAAAATTTATGATTAACTTTTATTAACAATTCCCTCATTATTTTGGACTGAAAGTACAGCATAAATTTTATTTATAATAAATGTGCTACAATAGTCTAAATTGGCATTCATAAGAACATAACTGAAGAGCATTGCAGACAAATTCCTGGACAGGCTAAGCTGATCCTATTCATACTTAACTATTCTCACTCATGTATGTGTAACCTATTTTAAAACTACCCAGAGTATCCACTTATAAAATTATGCAAAATTTTTCACTTGCTTACAACCACTGTTTTTCTATTTCCTCACTGGTTTCAATATTCCATATCAACAAAATCTTCCAATTATCCCTTTTCCCCATATCATCACATAAAATGCATAATGTGCAATAATATATTAATATGCTTGTCTGCCCCTTTGTAATTCCCAAATTTATTGTTTATTACCTGTAATCATAATCCAACCTGTAATCCTTACAATAATTGAATATGATAAATGGATTAAATAACGAGTTAATACGCTTGTTTGCCCTCGTAATTCCCAATTTTGTTGGTTATAACCCTTTAGAGATGTTTTGGTATGGCTTGGACCATTTACAAAGTCAGTGTGACTCTGTAAATGGCCCAAGTAGGACCAAAACGTCATCATACGCTCCTCTCTCCTATGTGTGGGTTATCTGCGTGTTGTTCTAGTCATGGTATTGTGCCTTTTTGTTCTTTCTAAACATTGTATCATACTGAAACAAAATATTATTATTATTCTTAGATCTACAATTATTCTTAGGAAGTAGGTTGGTAGACAGCAACTGCCCAGGGAGGAACTACTGTCCTGCCAAGTGAGTGTAAAACAGACACCTGTAATTGTTTTACATGATGGTAGGATTGCTGGTGTCTTTTTTTCTGTCTCAAACATGCAAGGCTTCAGGTATGTCTTGCTACTTCTACTTACACTTAGGTCACACTACACATACATGTACAAGCATGTATATACACACCTCTTGGTGGGATACAACCGGTGCGTTAAATGAAAGATCTACAATTATTCAAAATGACATTCATCCAATATAATGGGTCTAATTATCCACAAATTTGCAATAGTAAGATTTAAAACGTTATTCAGTACAGTACTTCAACTGGTACTTACTTAAGTTTAAGGGGTTTCGACGAGAAGACTCTTAGCGTGAAGGATGATTCCTGGCCTGGCTCAAAGGTAGTGGGCAGCAAGATGTATCCTCCCTGCTCCAACTGTACTCTTTCACTAACCTAGACATAAAAAAGTTCCATTAACACACCAATGATACCCCTTAACACCACTGAGACATTGATTATAAAAATTATAAGAGTTAATGTTAATAGTTATGTAAGCTTATGCTTGTTATCACAAGGAAAAGTGAAACAGGTAGTGGAATCTTCGCACTCAAACTTAATTCAGTCCAGAAGACTGTTCGAGTACTGATCTGTCTGAGTACCGAACGAATTTTTCCCAATCAATTTTCTTTTTGTATGGCTGTTATCACTAACTCTTAGCCCCATGGTGACTTATTTAAACAAATAATATAAAAAAATACAAAAAACTGCCAAGAAACATGAAATAGTTTACAGCAAAGTTCTGGCAGGTTGTGTTTGTTTGGTTGAGTGCAGAGCAAACTGTCGACTACTGAGCGATTTGTTTACCGAACAAAGTGTTTGAATATCGAATTGTTTGAGTAGGGAGCTGTTTGAGTACCGAGGTTCCACTATATGTCTTTCTGAAAAACTGTGAAGAGCAGATCCATTAGACTTATATATCATGGGTACAGGATTATAATACAACAGTAGTTCAATTCAAAATTTGTATTTCACACTGACCATTCAAAATTAATTTAGACTTAGAATGACCAGATTGCAGTCTCACTAATGTCATTTTCAAAAAAATATACATTACTACTATGGTTATTAGAAACACTTGCTGGATACATTAGATAGTTTAAAAGGAAGAAGTTGCTAAAAAGCACTGAATCTTGAGCATTATATATCCACAGATATTAATTATGAAATAACTGTATATAGTTTATAATATTTGGAAGAGTTAAATCAAGATAAGAGCTTTCTCTAAGCTCAAGTAATTGTATGACCCATATAGTTTAGCGCTTATTTTTAATAATAATAATAATCCTTCCTCCATCAGAGACGACTAAAATGCCAAGAGCATGGGGCTAGTAACTCCTTTTCCTGTATAAATTACTAGATGCAAAAAGAAGAAAAATTTCCATTATTTCTTTTTCGGGTCACCCTGCCTTGGCGGGAGATGGCCAGCGTGTTGGAAAAAAAAATAAGAATTAGTTCCAATTACCTGGTAATACTAGATACTGAAATACAGTGGTACCCCGAGTTTCAAACTTTTTTTTGTTCCAGAAGGCTGTTCGAGTGCCGTTACTGAACGAATTTGTTCCTATAAGGAACAATGTAAATTAGATTAGTCTGTTTCAGACCCCGAAAAATACACTTACAAAAGCACTTACAATAATATACTTACATAATTGGTCAAGTTGGGAGCAGTTCGATACTCAGGGTACCACTGTACATTTCCTTGATGGGGATTCTTAACCATGTAAAACTGTTTGTAAATAAGCAATGAACAGACTTCTAACAAGGGGGCAAATAAACACTCACTTGTCTGCTGTTTGTATACTGAGAGTTGATGAGGGATTTATTTTTTTTGAAGAAAGCTTTACTAATAGAGTCAAGTCCACTTTTGGAGAGAGGATAGGCTGTGAAACCAATCACCTGTAATAGAAGACATTGACAAAATATTACACGAAAAATTGCAGTAAATTTCTTAATTCACACTAGCACAGCATCAAATTATGGGTACAATGTATTACGTTTACAATTTTCATATGCGAGTCAATATGCAGGAAATGTGTATAACTTATTCAAGGGATTCAGCTACCCATTTCCTCTAAAATCACACAAACATTAAAGATTATAGCACACCAAATAAGATTTGCTGAAACATTTTTAGCATTTGTTTCACCTAGTAGTATTGATAGGTGAAAGGCAAAGACATCTCTTATTAGGTTTAAGCTATAGCCACAATTACCTTAGGTTCCATAACTGAATGTTGGTTGAGGGAGATAACCACCTCCTCCATGTCACTCAGGATCAGGTGGAGCTGTGGGTTAATGTGGAAGGTATCTGTTGAAGAGAAGTGCATATATTAAAAATTCAAAGCAGTGTAAAGAATAAACAAATTCATCATTACTTGCTACGTAGCCACCTTTCCAGAAGGATACAGCCATTATCAATGATGACCCACTGAATTGCAACACCACCAAAACTCAAACCCAGCTAATTTATTGATCTCCATGTGTTAGCCATGCTCATTCCAAAAACACTTCCAATTCCAAAAACTACTCACCTTTACTCCAATCTAACATGCTCAGTGCTTATAAATGCCTGCTGCATGCTCATACCCCCATTTCTTAATAATACTTTCATTGTTTTCTCTTGACCTTTCCTCAGACACCCTTTACACTTTCATCCACTCCAGATTTATATACCCTCTTGACATGCATTGCTCCAATTTTCATGTAAAGAAATCATGGCAATCCGTCTTCTGGCCCTGTGAATTACATCAGTATTTATTCTCTGCATAATATTCAAACTAAACACTGCCTCCAACCTCCTTCCCACTGTAATAACCAGAGACCATACTTCACAATCAGTCTACAACTACTCATAACTGGAAAGGCCATTCTCAATACTTCAGAAAGTACAGTAGCAGTTCTGTTATTAGTCTGAATCACTTTCTGTAAAGATAACTATAGACTTAGTTACACATTTACAGGTGTCTTACAAAAACATGATCCACACTGATTACACAACCATTTAGTCTGAGTATGTTGAAAACAATCTTTTCAGCTACAGGGAGCTATAGAGTGTAGGGGAAAAAAATATGAGCTTGACAATCATATATAATTTTTCATTTCAAAATCATTGGTAGAGCTCTGTACAAGTCAGGTACTCCCCCACAAAACAGCCCTCCATCAGATGAAGCAGATGTCTTTCCATGCTCTTCTAAGAGTTATTCAGCTGTAGACACCTTGGAGCTTCCTCCAGTTTTTTGTTAAAGAGGGAGATGATTCTGTTGAATTCTAACCCACGCAACTTACACTAAACTCCCTTTGACTATTGATGCCATTACATCAGTATGCATGATCTAAACAACTTATTAGCAAACATGCTATTAAATTACTTTTGTTATATTAAGATATACAGTACAGTCAGGGGTGGTACCAGGATCTTTTTCTTTGGGGGATTAGGGAAAGGCTAGCTAGTTGGATGGGGTGGCTAGTGGGACTCTAGCATTTGCAGAGCAAGCACACTTATCACTTAGACTGTAACAAATAACAAAAAAAGGCACAATACTGTGACTGGAACGATACACAAATAACCCGCACATAGAAGAGAGGAGCTTACGACGACGTTTCGGTACGACTTGGACTATTTACAAAATCACACTAATGAAAAGGAAAGCAGGATGGGTATATATAGGCAGGAGGTGGTAGTAGTAGTATTAGTGGAGGTGGAAGAAAGTAGTAGTGGAGACTAAGTAGTAGCCGAGGACTAAGATTCATGAATCTTAGTTCCGGCTTCATCTCTGTAGATGCCTTCCTCTCCCACTGCATTGTAAAATGCTCCAAACTTCAGAATACTCGTGACTTAACCTGATTCCTTCTCCTTTTTTCTTCTTCTCCCTCTTCCCCTTTCCTCTTTCCTTTTTCTCCTCTGGGTTGTCTTTCTTCTGCCCTGTGTATTTGTTCCTTCTTTATTTATCTGTTTTAACCCCCCCTCGGTGTTCTTGCTCTTACCCTCTGTGGGCACCTAGCTCTCTTGCAGTGCTCCTCTTTCTTAGCATTTGTCTGGCCCCTCTTACTCTTACTACCTCCCCATTACTACTTCCTTCCATCTCCACTACTACTACTACTACCACCACCTCCTGCCTATATACATGTATACCCATCCTGCTCTCCTTTTTGTTAGTGTGACTTTGTAAATGGTCCAAGTCGGACCGAAACATCGCCGTAAGCTCCTCTCTTCTATGTGCGGGTTATTTGTGTATCACTTAGATTGTATATTACAGCTTAAATCAAAATATCAATGCTCTCTAAAGATCCTTTTAGTCACACTTTATAAGAGTGAGAAAACAAATGTCCAAATCAAATTATGTGAATAGTAATGACGTGAAATTATGTCAATATACAACTTGCCATCCAGCAGGCGTGTGTAAGCATGTTAGATAGGAGTGGAGGCAAGTGGTTTTTGGGCCTTGACGTGTTATTGGAATGGTAGCAAAGTAACATTAATGAAAGGATTCAGGGAAACCGGTTAGCCGGACTTAAGTCCTAAAGATGAGAAGTAGAGTTCCTGCACTCTAAGGAGGGGTGGGAATATTAGCAATTTTGAACAGCAGTATTGGTGCCCTTTTGGTAAGACAATGATGGAGCAAGTGACAGTAAAAGTGTTTCTTCTTTTTTTGTGGCCACAATAACTTGGTGGGAAATGGCCAGTGTGTTAATTATAAAAAAAATCGTTAAATCAATATATACGTATATATACAGTAAATTTCTCAACAAGTCGGCCGTCTCCCACTGAGGCAAGGTGACCCAAAAAGAAAGAAAATCCCCCCAAAAGAAAATACTTTCATCATCATTCAACACTTTCACCATCACTCATACATAATCACTGTCTTTGCAGAGGCGCTCAGATACGACAGCTTAGACATTCCTCCAAACTGCCAATATCCCAAACCCTTCCTCTAAAGTTTACCTGGAGTTTACCTGGAGAGAGTTCCGGGGGTCAACGCCCCCGCAGCCCGGTCTGTGACCAGGCCTCCTGGTGGATCAGAGCCTCATAAACCAGGCTGTTGCTGCTGGCTGCACGCAAACCAACATACGAGCCACAGCCCGGCTGGTCAGGAACCGACTTTAGGTGCTTGTCCAGTGCCAGCTTGAAGACTGCCAGGGGCCTGTTGGTAATCCCCCTTATGTATGCTGGGAGGCAGTTGAACAGTCTTGGGCCCCTAACACTTATTGTATGGTCTCTTAACGTGCTAGTGACACCCCTGCTTTCATTGGGGGGATGTTGCATCGTCTGCCAAGTCTTTTGCTTTCGTAGTGAGTGATTTTCGTGTGCAAGTTCGGTACTAGTCCCTCTAGGATTTTCCAGGTGTATATAATCATGTATCTCTCCTGCCTGCGTTCCAGGGAATACAGGTTTAGGAACCTCAAGCGCTCCCAGTAATTGAGGTGTTTTATCTCCGTTATGCGTGCCGTGAAGGTTCTCTGTACATTTTCTAGGTCAGCAATTTCACCTGCCTTGAAAGGTGCTGTTAGTGTGCAGCAATATTCCAGCCTAGATAGAACAAGTGACCTGAAGAGTGTCATCATGGGCTTGGCCTCCCTAGTTTGGAAGGTTCTCATTATCCATCTTGTCATTTTTCTAGCAGATGTGATTGATACAATGTTATGGTCCTTGAAGGTGAGATCCTCCGACATGATCACTCCCAGGTCTTTGACGTTGGTGTTTCGCTCTATTTTGTGGCCAGAATTTGTTTTGTACTCTGATGAAGATTTAATTTCCTCATGTTTACCATATCTGAGTAATTGAAATTTCTCATCGTTGAACTTCATATTGTTTTCTGCAGCCCACTGAAAGATTCGGTTGATGTCCGCCTGGAGCCTTGCAGTGTCTGCAATGGAAGACACTGTCATGCAGATTCGGGTGTCATCTGCAAAGGAAGACACGGTGCTGTGGCTGACATCCTTGTCTATGTCGGATATGAGGATGAGGAACAAGATGGGAGCGAGTACTGTGCCTTGTGGAACAGAGCTTTTCACCTTAGCTGCCTCGAACTTTACTCTGTTGATGACTACTCTCTGTGTCCTGTTAGTGAGGAAATTATAGATCTATCGACAGACTTTTCCTGTTATTCCTTTAGCACGCATTTTGTGCGCTATTACGCCATCGTCACACTTGCCGAAGGCTTTTGCAAAGTCTGTATATATATTACATCTGCATTCTTTTTATCTTCTAGTGCATTTAGGACCTTGTCGTAGTGATCCAATAGTTGAGACAGACAGGAGCGACCTGTTCTAAACCCATGTTGCCCTGGGTTGTGTAACTGATGGGTTTCTAGATGGGTGGTGATCTTGCTTCTTAGGACCCTTTCAAAGATTTTTATGATATGGGATGTTAGTGCTATCGGTCTGTAGTTCTTTGCTGTTGCTTTACTGCCCCCTTTGTGGAGTGGGGCTATGTCTGTTGTTTTTAGTAACTGTGGGACGACCCCGTGTCCATGCTCCCTCTCATAGGATGGAAAAGGCTCGTGATAGGGGCTTCTTGCAGTTCTTGATGAACACGGAGTTCCATGAGTCTGGCCCTGGGGCAGAGTGCATGGGCATGTCATTTATCGCCTGTTCGAAGTCATTTGGCGTCAGGATAACATCAGATAGGCTTGTGTTAACCAAATTTTGTGGCTCTCTCATAAAAAATTCATTTTGATCTTCGACTCTCAGTCTGGTTAGTGGCTTGCTAAAAACTGAGTCATATTGGGACTTGAGTAGCTCACTCATTTCCTTGCTGTCATCTGTGTAGGACCCATCTTGTTTAAGTAGGGGCCCAATACTGGATGTTGTTCTCGACTTTGATTTGGAATAGGAGAAGAAATACTTTGGGTTTCTTTCGATTTCATTTATGGCTTTTAGTTCTTCCCGCGATTCCTGACTCCTATAAGATTCCTTTAGCTCGAGTTCGATGCTTGCTATTTCTCTGACCAGTGTCTCTCTACGCATTTCAGATATATTGACCTCTTTTAGCCGCTCTGTTATTCTTTTCCGTCGCCTGTAAAGGGAGCGCCTGTCTCTTTCTATTTTACATCTACTCCTCCTTTTTCTTAGAGGAATAAGCCTTGTGGCCCAGTGGCCTGGTGGAGGTGGCCCGGTGGCCTGGTGGCTAAAGCTCCCGCTTCACACACGGAGGGCCCGGGTTCGATTCCCGGCGGGTGGAAACATTTCGACACGTTTCCTTACACCTGTTGTCCTGTTCACCTAGCAGCAAATAGGTACCTGGGTGTTAGTCGACTGGTGTGGGTCGCATCCTGGGGGACAAGATTAAGGACCCCAATGGAAATAAGTTAGACAGTCCTCGATGACGCACTGACTTTCTTGGGTTATCCTGGGTGGCTAACCCTCCGGGGTTAAAAATCCGAACGAAATCTTATCTTATCTTATCTTGCATACATCGAGTGCCACCAAGTTAATCTGTTCTAAGCATATGTTGGGGTCTGTGTTGCTTAGTATATCTTCCCAGCTTATATCGGTTAGGACTTGGTTTACTTGGTCCCACTTTATGTTTTTGTTATTGAAGTTGAATTTGGTGAATGCTCCCTCGTGACTAGTCTCATTATGTCGGTCTGGGGCTCCACGCATACATGTCTGAACCTCAATTATGTTGTGATCTGAGTATATTGTTTTTGATATGGTGACATTTCTTATCAGATCATCATTGTTAGTGAAGATGAGGTCTAGTGTATTCTCCAGTCTAGTAGGCTCTATTATTTGCTGGTTTAAATTGAATTTTGTGCAGAGATTTAAAAGCTCGTGTGAGTGTGAGTTTTCATCAGAGCTGCCTCCTGGTGTTATTAATGCAACAATATTATTTGCTATATTCCTCCATTTTAGGTGCCTTAAGTTTTAAATCCCCCAGGAGCAAGATGTTGGGTGCAGGAGCTGGAAGATTTTCCAGACAGTGGTCAATTTTTAACAGCTGTTCCTGGAATTGCTGGGATGTTGCATCTGGAGGCTTGTAGACTACCACAATGACTAGGTTTTGGTTCTCGACCTTTGCTGCTAAAACTTCCACTACATCATTTGAGGCATTTAGCAGTTCTGTGCAAACAAGTGACTCTGCTATGTACAGGCCAACCCCCCCCCCTTTTGCCTGTTCACTCTGTCACATCTGTATAGGTTGTAACCTGGGATCCATATTTCGTTGTCCAAGTGATCCTTTATGTGGGTCTCAGTGAAAGCCGCGAACATTGCCTTTGCCTCTGCAAGCAGTCCACGGATGAAAGGTATTTTGTTGTTTGTTGCTGGCTTTAGACCCTGTATATTTGCAAAGAAGAATGTCATCGGACTGGTGGTATTGTTGGTACTGTGGGGGAGGATTTTTTTTCCGGCATTAGTATCTGTATCTGTTGGTTTGGAGTGTTTATCTGGAGTTTATCTGGAGAGAGTTCCAGGGGTCAACGCCCCCGTGGCCCGGTCTGTGACCAGGCCTCCTTAGGTCAGTGTCCCAGGATGCGACCCACACCAGTCGACTAACACCCAGGTACCCATTTTACTGATGGGGAACATAGACAACAGGTGGAAAGAAACACGTCCAATGTTTCTACTCTGGCTGGGAATCGAACCCAGGCCCTCACCGTGTGAAGCGAGAGCGTTAACCACCAGGCCACCAGAGCCCTCGACTGTGGTTCCACTCCAGGAATGACTGGATGGTGGATTTGGTGAAGGCATTGTGCTTCCCATTTCAAGGACTCAAGTCTAGCTAATAATAATAATAATAATAATAATAACAGAATTCTTCCTGCGTGTTGTATGAGATGACTAAAATGCCGGGAGCAAGGAGCTAGTAACCCTTTCTCCTGTATATGTTACTAATTTTAAAAAGAGAAACTTTTATTTTTTCTTTTAGGTCACCCTGACTCAGTGGGATATGGCTTGTTTGTTGAAAAATAATAATAATAATAATAATAATAATAATCTTTATTTCTACAAGTACATGTATAAGGTATACAGGCCTAGCTGACATCAATGACATACTACTACTATATAGAAAGCTTCTTGTTATGGTGAACACTTCAGGCAAATTAGGTCAATTTTGTCCCCAGGATGCTACCCACACCAGTCGACTAACACCCAGGTATCTATTTTACTGATAGGTACCTGACCAGCTGGGCTGTGATTGCGTGCAGCCAGCAGTAACAGCCTGGTTGATCAGGCCCTGATCCACCATGAGGCCTGGTCACAGACCGGGCCGCGGGGGCGTTGACCCCCGGAACTCTCTCCAGGTAAACACATCCACATCCTAAGGTTTCCACCCGTACCAAAGATCGACCCACGGACCTTAGTGTGTGAGCTGTGTGCGCTAGCAAACGAGCCATGGAACCAACCAAAATAATCAACGGGGGATGATTGTATTTGTCTCCAAATTTGTTTCTAAATCTTAACAAGTAAGTCTGACAATTTATAATATTAATATTTAGCCATTAAAGCTGTACTACATCCAATCAGAGTCAATCAACATGATTTAATTAACAAATTAATGTATCTATATTTTACTCAATAAGTCACACTATAGTAAGAAATCTAAATAAAGCTAAGTATACAGGTATAGTGTATTTCTCTCTCACCTGGGTTGTTCCTGCAACCACCAGCTGTAACACCTCTCTGCCATGCTCCTTGATATACCCGTGAGGTCCAAGGAGTTTTATGCCTGAGAGATGGTTCATCTCTTGAGGTTTCTCCATCTAAATGAATTACTTCCAACTGGGAAAATGTCCGTACAAAGTCACTATAGGCCATCCTGCACGAGGAAAAAAAATATTCGAAGATTTTATGTAACTAGGAGAATGAATTTTGATAAGTTGCATGAGGTTAATTGCCACCTTTGATGAGTTTCAAGAGTTTTTACACTCCCAAAGCCTGGTCTTGGCGAGGTTTGCACATTCCTTATACATATTCCTTACAAGCAAGCAAATTCCTTACACATATGCCAGACAAGAAATTTTGCTTTATCATTAAACACTTTACTTTCCCGGGTGGTTTTTTAAAATATATTAATAACAATTTATAATGCAATTTACAGAAAGCAACAGGCTCTTACCAAAACTCTCCGTCAGGTGTGTACTTCAGGTTGAGTCTCTCCTTTTCATGTGGTGGTACTTCATCCCACTCTGGGGCAGCTCTACCCCATGCCCCAAGGTATTCAACATTTGTTCCAAGGGGTGTGCGTAATCTTACCAAGGTCACCTGCTCCCCACTATAACGCTCAACCTGTGTAAATAGTTATTCCTTATAAACTTTCATAAGTGTACTAATAAACTTCTGTGAAATGCTATTAAAGATAAATAGTTGTGAGTTAAGTGTACTATATTAATACTTCTAATGAAATAAGGATACTGTCTGACAGGTCAACGAATAAAGAATGATGAATAATTTATAAACAACTTACAAATCACTGACTAGAATACATAACACTACATAGTTTAAAAGCATGACATCACTAAATAGCAAGAAATTATTAACATAATTCCTTGAAAAGCACTGAATCTTGTGCATTATACATTCATAGGTATAATTAAGAAATAATCGCATGTACATAGTTTATAATATCAAGCTAAACCTCAAAGATTTAGCTTGATAGGTTTAATAAATTCCCCTACTCATCTTTTGGGCGGTGGTCTAAAGATTAAAGTCCATAAAAATGGAATTTATTATAATCAAGTTAACAAACCTTCTCAATACAGTAAATTCTATAGTTGATTCCCATGACAATGCCACTGGCCAGTTTTTCTGAGTGCATTTTGGAATGTGTGTGGGCAGTGACAACTGCAGTAACAATAGATGTTAAGTCGAGGAGCTTAGATAAGAGTCGCCCGCAAGTGGTTGGGTCTGCCCTCAAGCTTACTGATTCTGCTATTCCACCAGTAAAATCGGACAGTCCATCTAAAGAAGTGCCATACTTCAGGGCTTCATATGAACCATGGAGCCTGAAATTTTTTAAATACAGTTAAGATTTTTTTATTCCAATTTAATCACAGCTAAACCAAAAAAGTAAATACGACAATGCTTTTTCATGCATTACCAAAAGATGCTTATTAATATTATGCAATTCATAGTTAGCATTAAGTTAACCTTAATTTCAAGCTTGCCTTAAGTAGTCTTAATTTACCCAAAATGCAATGCATAACCAGGAGATTTTCCATGTACCGTATTTCATCACTGTAAATTACAGTATCTAATACAGTGGACCCCGCATAACGATGGCATCACATAGCGATTATTTCGCATACCGCTTACTTTAATTGCAAAAATTTTGCCTCACATACCGCTTAAAAACCCGCTTACCGATTTTCGTCCGAGACGCGTCCAATGTGCGGCCTGAGCCACGCTCACATGTTCCGCCGGTGGCATTGTTTACCAGCCAGCCTCCGCGGTAACATCCAAGCATACAATCGGAATATTTCGTATTATTACAGTGTTTTCGGTGCTTTTTCTGAAAATAAGTGACCATGGGCCCCAAGAAAGCTTCTAGTGCCAACCCTACAGCAATAAGGGTGAGAATTACAATAGAGATGAAGAAAAAGATCATTTATAAGTATGAAAGTGGAGTGCATGTCTCCGAGCTGGCCAGGTTGTATAATAAACCCAATCAACCATCGCTACTATTGGTGGTACAGCTGCTGCTGCTGCTGCTGCACTGTCAGCTGCTGCTGCTGCTGTAGCACCGTTGTTGGTGTGGCTTATTGAGAATACCAAGAAACAATTAACCCCAGAGGGTTTGCCACCCAGGATAACCCAAAAAAAATCCGTGTCATCGAAGACTGTCTAACTTATTTCCACTGGGTCCTTAATCTTGTCTCCCAGGATGCAACCCACACAAGTCGACTAACACCCAGGTGAACAGGGAAAAATGCCCGGAACTAGTGCTCATATTGGTGAATTTAAAGCCAGCAAAGGTTGGTTTGAGAGATTTTTAAAAATCGTAGTGGCATACACAGTGTGATAAGGCCTATTCTGGAAGAAAATGCCAAACAGGACCTACAGTACTCAGGAGGAAAAGGCACTCCCAGGACACAGTGTCTCATCAGTCATTGCTGCATCTTCAATAAAGGTAAGTGTCATTTATTCTTCATTTAGTAGACTAGAACATGCACAATATATACTGTGCATGTACTACTCTACTATTGTGCATGTATCCTTCTCTTTGTGTGTGGGAAAATGTATATTTCATGTGGTAAAATTTTTTTTTTCATACTTTTGGGTGTCTTGCACGGATTAATTTGATTTCCATTATTTCTTATGGGGAAAATTCATTCACATAGCGATTATTTCGCATAACAATTACCCCTCTTGCACGGATTAAAATCGTTAACCGGGGGTCCACTGTAATTATTGGATGTTGAAATGAATAAATTTCTATTTTGTGAGTGATCATTATTATTACCTCACTCTTACTATATTACACCTACCATCCGACATACGACCTGCTCGACTTACGACCACTAGACTTGCGACCGTGTTTTTTATGCCAAATTTCTGGGAAATAAACAACTATTTGTGTTGTACACAGTGTTTATCCTAAACCTTACAGTATAAAATACAGTACTAACAACATAAAAAGTAAAGTAAAAATGAAATACCAAAATAAAACAATAAAATAAAGTCATTACAAAAATGTTTTGTTGATATTCAGTAGTAAAGTTCGACTTACGACCATTTCGACTTACGACGGTTTCTCGGAACCGAACTTGGTCGTAAGTCGGATGGTAGGTGTATTAATATTGTTATTATTAGTTTTATTATTACAATACAGTATTACAAAACACCAACAATGGGAAATGCAAATACACTTACTTTGCGTAAGCCTTTTCGAGAAGAGCTGGCCAGAAATGTGTGAGGGACTGTGAGTGGACGAACACCAGCTTACCATTAACTGTAGGAAGGCGGTCATCTACCAGCACCTCCTTCCACTCCCCACACCACCACACACGGAACCTATCAACATGGGGAAACAAATAGAAAATTTATTTCTTTGTGTAAGGTATTGTGTAAGAATTGAGACACTTATGCAACACATGGGAATCTTTACTGAAGAAACGTTTCGCCACACAGTGGCTTCATCAGTCCAATACAAAGAAGAAATGGGTAAGGAGAGGAGAAGTTTGAGGTAATTAGTCCCTCAACTTGGAATCGATGTGTTCAGTCCATCACTCTTGTAGGAAATGCAGCATAGGGCCAGAGAGGTGGCTTATATACCGCAGTCAGATGAGGTGAAGCAGGAGGAGGTGGGATCACAGTGGGACCTGCCACTAGTGTAAGTAGGTCGTTGTCCAAAGGTTGGGCAAGCGTTGAAGTCTTTGTACCACATCGATTCCAGGTTGAGGGACTGATTACCTCAAACTTCTCCTCTCCTTACCCATTTCTTCTTTGTATTGGACTGATGAAGCCACTGTATGGCAAAATGTTTCTTCAATAAAGATTCCCATGTGTTGCATAAGTGTCTCAATTCTTCAATTTGTCGGTTTTCTAAAGCATTCATCACACACATGTAGCACAGTACACCAGCACATGTAGCACAGTACACCAGCACATGTAGCACAGTACACCAGCACATGTAGCACAGTACACCAGCACATGTAGCACAGTACACCAGCACATGTAGCACAGTACACCAGCACATGTAGCACAGTACATCAGCACATGTAGCACAGTACATCAGCACATGTAGCACAGTACATCAGCACATGTAGCACAGTACATCACATGTAGCACAGTACATCAGCACATGTAGCAGAGTACACCAGCACATGTAGCACAGTACACCAGCACATGTAGCACAGTACACCAGCACATGTAGCACAGCACATCAGCACATGTAGCACAGTACACCAGCACATGTAGCACAGTACACCAGCACATGTAGCACATTTCATCCCGCACATGTAGCACAGTACACCAGCACATGTAGCACAGTACATCAGCACATGTAGCACAGTACATCAGCACATGTAGCACAGTACATCAGCACATGTAGCACAGTACACAAGCACATGTAGCACAGTACATCAGCACATGTAGCACAGTACACCAGCACATGTAGCACAGTACACCAGCACATGTAGCACAGTACACCAGCACATGTAGCACAGTACACCAGCACATGTAGCACAGTACACCAGCACATGTAGCACAGTACACCAGCACATGTACACAGTAAAACCAGCAACTGTAGCACAGTACACCACACATGTAGCACAGTACATCAGCACATGTAGCACAGTACACCAGCACATGTACACAGTAACACCACACATGAAACACAGTACACCCACACATGTAGCACAGTACACAAACACATGTAGCACAGTACAACCAGCACATGTAACACATAAAACCACACATGTAGCACAGAAGACCCAGGATCATGTTTTATGTGCATAACAATATTTTAATGCATGTAAACTACATTATCTGTGCACTGCATAAAAGAAATAAAAGTTTGAATTTGAAACTGTTGATGAGGTAAAACATACGGGCAAGTTCCCTAACTCCTTCAACCCATGTGACATAACATTAAATAGTAACCTAGGAATTAGAATTTTATGGATCACATTCAGAAAGGACCTAAAAATTACCCACTGGAAATAAGCTATTGTACACTGTTTTTGGGGTTTTCCCGAATATCCTGGGTTATTAACTCTCTGGGGTGGTTAGTAATAAAAAAAAGTCTTTCTATCTACAAGCATGAGACTTAAAGGAAATACAATACATACACCAAAAATTGTGTCACTTAACATGATGTCCTATATATGATAAGCTTTAGATGTAATGCTGCAGATTCACTGTATGATTAATAGAATGATATTTAAATAAAAAATAATATCACTTGATCAATTACTGACAGCATATTTCTGTCTTGGTAAATTTTCATATTTAAAAGGTCAGCAAATAATCTTCATTAATGAACTGGGTGATTCTATCCCAATATTTACCACTATTTAGTTTCAAACATCCTCGCTACTAGCTGCCTTAACATTCAAGTAACTGTGTCATGTACCACTCCTATTTTCGTAATCTCACTATCACCTGGACAGTGTGTAGTTTATTACCTGAAGACACCACAGTAGCCAGACTCTGCCTCAAAGTCCTGGTCAGCTGGAACAACACGATAGAAGAGTCCCTTGGTCAGGTGTAGACACCCCAAACATGATACAAACCATCTGTCACCTGCAAGGAATAGTAAGTTATTCATTTTGTTGAAAATGTTTAGGGACATGGCAATAAGAAAAGATAAGAGGAAGGTAAGAAGGCACTAATTAACTAGGTATACCACTAGAAAAATTATATGGTGACTTGTAGCTCAGTAAAGTGCATTCAGCTCACACCTAAAGATCCTGGGTTCAATTCAAATGCAAAATTTGCAGCAACATATTCTGGACAATGAATGTGAACAATTTTGTTATGATTGAGCTTCAGCTGCCTTACCCTATCTGCAATATTAAACATTTTCTATATATATATATAAAATATATATATATATATATATATATATATATATATATATATATATATATTAAATAAATAAAAATATATATATATAAATATATATATATATATATATATAATATATTATATAAATATATAATTATAGTATGTTCCCCCTTATCCTAAAGTGTCGTGAGATTGAGTTCCCCTTAACCTCTTCTCGTAGGGCATACCCTAGCTCTGGGACTAGTCTTGTTGCAAACATTTGCACTTTCTCCAATTTGTCGAATGCTTGACTAGGCGTGGGCTCCATATTGGTACTGCATACTCCAGCATGGTCCTGATGTACAAGGTATACAGTGTCTTCTTTCTTTGTTGGGTTCTTTCTTTCTTTCTTTATAATAGTAATAATAATAATAATAATAATAATAATAATAATAATAATAAATATCTTTATTTCTACAAGTACATGTACAAGGTATACAGGCCTATCTGACATCAATGACATACTACTATATAGAAAGCCGTTTGTTATGCAGAGCTTTTTCGGCAAATTAGGTCAGCTGTGTCCCAGGATGCGACCCACACCAGTCGACTAACACCTAGGTACCCATTTTATACTGATGGGTGAACATAGACAGCAAGTGTCTTAAGAAACACGTCCTAATGTTTTCCAGCCGTACCAGGGATTCGATCTCCGGACCTCAGTGTGTGAGCTGAGTGCGCTAGCGATCGAGCTGGGTTTATCAGGGCCACTGACAGCATAAGCCGTATCGAGCCCGTCTTCTCGATGGTACGAGGAAAAATTGTTGCCCAAGGCTGGGCAATGAGAGAAAAGGAACAAAAGTTCCTTTGTAAATAGAGATAGAAACTTAAAGTTTCCAATCAGATCCGGTGGACCCCCTTGCCAAACCCCAGCAGAGAGGGATGCCCACACTCCCACCTGAGTTCAGTAATCGGCTTCCCACCAAAGACCGATAAAGAATTTTCCGGAGAACGGGAAAAAAATGGAGCTGACTAAAAGTAAGCCGATGATCAGGTGCCCCTCCTGTAGAGTGCCCTGCAGGCAAAATTGATGAGGACAAGCGTCCCAGAGAGAACGGTGAAAATTTGTCACTGATACTCAGGCGAGAGAGAGACGTCCATACCCAACGAAGGCTGGCGCAGAAGTCTCGTATACAGTGTCGTGAATGACTCCTTATATGTCAAAACACTATTCTTAGATTTGCCAAACACCCATATACTGCAGCAGTTATTTGATGTTCGATATGATGCTCATCCCAGGATACTTTTCCTTGAGTGAGGTTCGCAGTCTTTGACCCCCTAGCATAGTCTTCTTCGTCATTCCCTAAGCTTCATGACATTGCACTTAGTAGGGTTAAACTCCAGGAGCCATTTGTCGGACCAGGTTTGCAGCCTGTCCGGATCCCTTTCTAGTCTTACCTGATCCTCGTCCGCTTGTATTCTCCACATTAGCTTCACATCATCTGCCTGTGAAGTGGGACACCTGAATCTATACCTTCCGCCATGTCGTGTCATTCATACCAAAAACAGCACCGGGCCTAGGACTGACCCTTGTGGAACCCCACTAAACACAAACCAACATATACAGATACTAATGCCGGAAAAAAAATCCCCCCCCCCCAGTACCAACAATACCACCAGTCCGATGACATTCATCTTTGCAAATATACAGGGTCTAAAGCCAGCAACAAACAACAAAATATTTTTCATCCGTGGACTGCTTGCAGAGGCAAAGGCAATGTTCGCGGCTTTCACTGAGACCCACATAAAGAATCACTTGGACAACGAAATATGGATCCCAGGTTACAACCTATACAGATGTGACAGAGTGAACAGGCAAAAAGGGGGGGTGGCTTGGCCTGTACATTGCAGAGTCACTTGTTTGCACAGAACTGCTTAATGCCTCAAATGATGTAGTGGAAGTTTTAGCAGTAAAGGTCGAGAACCAAAACCTAGTCATTGTGGTAGTCTACAAGCCTCCGGATGCAACATCCCAGCAATTCCAGGAACAGCTGTTAAAAATTGACCACTGTCTGGAAAATCTTCCAGCTCCTGCACCCAACATCTTGCTCCTGGGGGATTTCAACTTAAGGCACCTAAAATGGAGGAAAATAGCTTTTAAATCTCTGCACAAAATTCAATTTAAACCAGCAAATAATAGAGCCTACTAGACTGGAGAATACACTAGACCTCATCTTCACTAACAATGATGATCTGATAAGAAATGTCACCATATCAAAAACAATATACTCAGATCACAACATAACTGAGATTCAGACATGTATGCGTGGAGCCCCAGACCGACATAATGAGACTAGTCACGATGGAGCATTCACCAAATTCAACTTCAATAACAAAAACATAAAGTGGGACCAAGTAAACCAAGTCCTAACCGATATAAGCTGGGAAGATATACTAAGCAACACAGACCCCAACTTATGCCTAGAACAGATTAACTTGGTGGCACTCGATGTATGCACAAGGCTTATTCCTCTAAGAAAAAGGAGGAGATGTAAAATAGAAAGAGACAGGCGCTCCCTTTACAGGCGACGGAAAAGAATAACAGAGCGGCTAAAAGAGGTCAATATATCTGAAATGCGTAGGGAGACACTGGTCAGAGAAATAACAAGCATCGAACTTAAGCTAAAGGAATCTTATAGTAGTCAGGAATCGCGGGAAGAACTAAAAGCCATAAATGAAATAGAAAGAAACCCAAAGTATTTCTTCTCCTATGCCAAATCAAAGTCGAGAACAACGTCCAGTATTGGGCCCCTACTTAAACAAGATGGGTCCTACACAGATGACAGCAAGGAAATGAGTGAGCTACTCAAGTCCCAATATGACTCAGTTTTTAGCAAGCCGCTAACCAGACTGAGAGTCAAAGATCAAAATGATTTTTTTATGAGAGAGCCACAAAATTTGGTTAACACAAGCCTATCCGATGTTATCCTGACGCCAAATGACTTCGAACATGGCGTAATAGCGCACAAAATGCGCGCTAAAGGAATAACAGGAAAAGTCGGTCGATGGATCTATAATTTCCTCACTAACAGAACACAGAGAGTAGTCGTCAACAGAGTAAAGTCCGAGGCAGCTACGGTGAAAAGCTCTGTTCCACAAGGCACAGTACTAGCTCCCATCTTGTTCCTCATCCTCATATCCGACATAGACAAGGATGTCAGCCACAGCACCGTGTCTTCCTTTGCAGATGACACCCGAATCTGCATGACAGTGTCTTTCATTGCAGACACTGCAAGGCTCCAGGCGGACATCAACCAAATCTTTCAGTGGGCTGCAGAAAACAATATGAAGTTCAACGATGAGAAATTTCAATTACTCAGATATGGTAAACATGAGGAAATTAAATCTTCATCAGAGTACAAAACAAATTCTGGCCACAAAATAGAGCGAAACACCAACGTCAAAGACCTGGGAGTGATTATGTCGGAGGATCTCACCTTCAAGGACCATAACATTGTATCAATCGCATCTGCTAGAAAAATGACAGGATGGATAATGAGAACCTTCAAAACTAGGGAGGCCAAGCCCATGATGACACTCTTCAGGTCACTTGTTCTATCTAGGCTGGAATATTGCTGCACTCTAACAGCACCTTTCAAGGCAGGTGAAATTGCCGACCTAGAAAATGTACAGAGAACTTTCACGGCGCGCATAACGGAGATAAAACACCTCAATTACTGGGAGCGCTTGAGGTTTCTAAACCTGTATTCCCTGGAACGCAGGAGGGAGAGATACATGATTATATACACCTGGAAAATCCTAGAGGGACTAGTACCGAACTTGCACACGAAAATCACTCACTACGAAAGCAAAAGACTTGGCAGACGATGCACCATCCCCCCAATGAAAAGCAGGGGTGTCACTAGCACGTTAAGAGACCATACAATAAGTGTCAGGGGCCCGAGACTGTTCAACTGCCTCCCAGCACACATAAGGGGGATTACCAACAGACCCCTGGCAGTCTTCAATCTGGCACTGGACAAGCACCTAAAGTCAGTTCCTGATCAGCCGGGCTGTGGCTCGTACGTTGGTTTGCGTGCAGCCAGCAGCAACAGCCTGGTTGATCAGGCGCTGATCCACCAGGAGGCCTGGTCACAGACCGGGCCGCGGTGGCGTTGACCCCCTGAACTCTCTCCAGGTAAACTCCAGGTAAACAAGCTCCCACGCTGACACCTCGTCACGTACGTGATTGTGTGAGTAACCCTCACGACCCACAAATCGAAAATAAATTATCAGACGATGTTTGGACTATTAAATGTGAATAAGCAGGTTACATTAAAAGTATTATTGGTATGGTGATGCAAGTCAAGGCATGATGAAGACAATAACTGTTAATTAAAGTGATAAAGTAAATAAAGAAGAGAGTTGTCATGCCCAAGGTAAGCTAACTGTGCAGATATCATTATACGTCAGTTGACGCCCTCACTCTCAAGAAAATATACACCGTAACACATTTTTGTATTGTACATCCTTGGCAACTGATTAATATACAGTTTTCTATTTCGGCTAGTTCTCTTTCATACTTTACCTGGAGTTTACCTGGAGAGAGTTCCGGGGGTCAACGCCCCCGCGGCCCGGTCTGTGACCAGGCCTCCTGGTGGATCAGAGCCTGATCAACCAGGCTGTTGCTGCTGGCTGCACGCAAACTAACGTACGAGCCACAACCCGGCTGATCAGGAACTGACTTTAGGTGCTTG